TTTTTTCATGAAAAAAGTGTGCCTTTGCACAAAAAAGGTTGAAAAACACTGTTCTAAAGAGACCAAACCTGTCTGCAAAAATGCAGGGAGCCACTAGTCGGCAGCACACTTATTATTTTCTTGACTTCTTCTGTTCCTCCGAATTTTTACCCACATCGGTAGCTTTAATTTCATTTTTTTTTAATTTTAATTAATTTTAAAATAATACACGTACCAAAATATCTACGGGTGTGATAGAAACGGTTTGCTCATAAAAAGGCTAGCCATATACTGTAAAAAAAGCTTTGGACAGAAATGATAAAAGCGAAGTTAATGAACATTTCGACCCTGCCGGCTACCGTAGACACAGTGTTTTCCGGGTAGTTTGACTGGTTGTCTAGCAACCGTATTAGGTAGGGTTTAGTTAGCCGGCGCGTAAAGGCGATTTCTCATTGGGGGTGGCTTTGGCTCGGTGATACCGAAAAGTCACAGGCAAAATTGCAGGGGAGGGAGGTAGTAGCAGAGAAGGGGGGTGTCGTTTGAGGTTGCAATTCTCTGCACGCTTACTTAGCTCACGAGTTCCGTGGAAAGGAGTTACTTCTGCCGACCAGGCATAGATATCCTTACGGAGGACTGCCAGCCGATCCTTGTCACCCAAGGGGTAAAGCCCCAGTAAATATAGCATTATTGAGCGAGCAAGCGTTGGTAAGATTTCGGCGCACCATAATTACTCAGACGTTGAAATTAACCCCCAAAAATGTTAAGCTTTCTGGCAAAGAAGAAAAGATCAAATAGCTCTACTTTTCTGGATGATACAAGTCTCTTACTTGTAATTTTGTTCTTTTGGGAAATAGTCCAGAGTTTCCATATGATTCTTAATTTGTAAGCCAATGATGAACCTTCAGCACTGCAGTCCTAATTCTCAGCTAGATTAAATGTGCATGATGGGTGTGATGTTCTGTTTTAGCTAATTCAATGTTATTTGGGAATAAATTATTATTCTGAAAGGTCAGATTACTGGTCTTTCATCCCTCAAACAAGAGCGTATGTTAAAGGTATAATAATTCTATCATTTCAGACAGAGAAGACAACGTGAATTTTAATCTGAAAAATGCAGGCTTTAATGCCCGAACCTCAAATTTATGTTGAAAGAACCTTGGCAATCATCAAGCCAGATATTATCAACAAAGAAGTAGAAATAGAAGATATAATTCTCAGATCAGGATTTACTATTGTTCAGGTAATACAAGAGAAAATTGGACTTCTAATTTACCTTTTCAGGGCTATGCTTTCCCAAAAGAATGATAGAAAGATATTGAGGAAAAAGGCCTAATTAAAATGTGATCATGTTAGATGATACATATTATTTAGTTGTGAAACAGCTTGTGAGCTTATGTTGCAATATCAATAACATAACTGAACTGGGTGGTCTTTAAACCAGTGTAAATAAAGTAACGCATATGCCTATTAGAGAATGATTTTGTTATATGTATGCTCTAGAACAATTGTATGATTTTGGAATGCTACAATGAATTTAACATTTTAATAACAGCTGTGAAATTCCAAAATCACTAACATTAATCCATACTTATTATATACCATAAGCATAACAAATATTCTTGATACTGTAGAGTTTGGGTCACTTACTATGTAGTACTGCTTGAGCTGATATAATTTTTATAAAATATACATACTATTTTTATAATCAAGGACCTGCCAATGCAGCAGTTCTAGAAAAAGATTGGCTATAGTTAAGCTATTAAAGATTTCCACTAGATGTCTCTCTCTCACTACTGGAAATCAAAGACTATTTTTGTTTTTGTAAAGCAACAATTCCATTTGAGCATAAAGCCTTCCATTAATTTACTGAACTAATAACATTGATTTGAATGACAATGCAGTAAAAAAGGATTTCATTTTAAGACTTACAGCTCCAGTAATATAGCGTACATTATATTTGTATTAAGAATTGGTATTCTGAGGCTGTCAAGAACTTTAAACTTATTACATGCTTCCCTATGACATAAAATGAACAAGGGGGTGGTCTGTTGTAAATGGTTAATCTATATACTAATCAGAAAGAGCTTCATACAAACACATTACTGTGCTTTTATAGCAGTATGGTTATGCAAGATATCATATTTGATTGCTTTTGAACAGTGCATTGAGATATATTTTTCATTTCTTTCATAGAAAAGAAAGCTTCAGCTAAGTCCAGAGCAATGTAGCAACTTCTATGTAGAACAGTACGGGAAAATGTTCTTTCCAAATCTGACAGCTTACATGAGTTCTGGACCTTTAGTTGTAATGGTTCTTGCTCGGCAAAAGGCAATCTCATACTGGAAGGAACTTCTTGGACCCACAAGTAGTATAGTAGCTAAGGAAACACATCCTGACAGGTAAATTAATTAATTAGTTATTTAAAACTATCTTAAAATGAACTAGCAGATTTTACCATTGTACCTTTGATTTTACAAGTATTATCAATGTAAGGCTTTGCAATATAATTATGTTACAGAGGGCTGGAAAGTACTGTGAAGCAGTATAGAAGTCTTAAGTGCTATTGCTATGTTTTGTATATTTAAAGAATTTAGTTGTGTATCAGATTCAGATCTAAGCAATATAAAACTTCTCTGACATACCCCTGTGCTGTCCTATGTACCTGCTGTATGGTTTAGGACTATTTTATAGATTAAGGGTTATTTTAATAAAGGAAGGGCAATACTTAAGGGAAAAATAGAAGAATTGTGGCAGAGATCCCTATTACATCTGTTTTATTAAATAACATGTTAAAAAAGACTAATCATAAGCTTCTCTTCAGCATTGCTGGGGATATTCCTGTAACTCAATGAAAGTTGCATTACAGTCATACTACATAGAAATTGAATAGTTTTGCACTGCATCTGTGTGAGCATATCTGTGTTTCTTTTAGTTTAAGAGCAATCTATGGAACAGATGATCTGAGAAATGGACTTCATGGTAGTGCCAACTTTTCCTCATCTGAAAGAGAAATCCGGTTCATGTTTCCTGAAGGTATGTATTTACCATCTTTCCTGCTATGAAGCTAAAGAAACGAAATACTGCACATTGTTGTCTAATACTGTCACCCTGTACCATACCTGGTAGAGGAAATAAATTTATTTTGCGTGTGTACATATTCACCTTTTCTCTAACTGTTGAAGGCAGCATAGATGTTTTCCCTAATTTTATCCTCCTAATAGCTAAACAGTGGGAGGAATTGGATCAACCATTCACTGTCAGCTCAAAATCAGTATAGGTTTCAATTTGCAATCTTTATCATAAATCCTCATGCTGATATGAGACAATATTCATTTGCAACTCAAAATAAAGTGTGCTACCACAAATGAGGTTGGTATGTGTGATGCTCCTATTAGTATTTGAATTGGATATCTGCATATTTTCTGTAGGCAATTCTAATTTATAATCAAGACTTTATTGCATAGTTATTCTTAGCTTTTGTGAAGTTTATGGAGGTTGCAAGTATTTGAAAACATCATTCAAAATTCTCTAAATAGTAACAAAACATGTGGCCATTATGTTAGAGATGTGCTTTTTTTTCTTTTGTGGTAATTCTTTTGTTGTGGGTTACCATGTGATAAGCTCAGATGAGCTGTACTGTATATCAATAATAAGCTCTCTGTGGCTCCTTTATACTTAAGACTTTTCTAAGTAAACAGAATAACAGAGTTAGAAGGGACCTTGGAGATCTTCTAGTCCAACCCCAGACTCAGGCAGGAAACCCTATACCATTTCAGACAAATGGTTGTCAAATCTCTGCTTTAAAACTTCCAATGTTGGAGTACCCACAACTTCTGGAGGCAAGTTGTTCCCCTGATTAATTGTTCTGTCAGGCAATTTCTTCTTAGTTCTAAGTTGGTTTTCTCCATGATTCGCTTGCGTTGCTTTTTGCCCTGCCTTCAGGTCCTTTGAAGAATAGGTTGAGCCTTCTTCTTTATGGCAGTCCCTTGATTTGTAATGCAAGAGAAGGAGATTCAAGAAGCTGTCTGAAAAACAAAAATCAGATTGTGGTTCTTGAGACGGCAGTATCTTTGATAGGGAGTTCAGCTAATGCTCCACTTGAACTTCTGTAATGTTCATTGTATCTTTATTATGTGGTGAAGCTACTCAACTCAGATGAGTTTATGCATTGAAATATCTTCCATGCCACCTAGTCACTTATAGAATATAAACTGATTTAAAGAAGAATGGTTTATATTCGGATCCCAAGTTCAGTATGACCCTTCTGGAAAACATCCATTGGGTTTGCTTATTATCTGGAAAATGAAGTCTGATTTCAGATAATCTTATCTGAGGAGTCCATGTGGAATCAGTGGCTTACAAGTATTGTAAAAAAAGCTTTATTTTTTTACTGATCCGTGGTTAATTATGAGTAAGTTCACAATGTGATAGAGAAAAACCCCATAAAATTTACCACTTTGTTATACTGAAATGCAGTACAGTAGTTTTCTTCATGACTTTCTTATCTGGCTTTTAAAAATATTAATGATGTTAGCTTGAAATGCTATTATCTAGGAGACAAGAAACATGGAATATGTGTTCAGCAATAGGAGGCAAACTATTGGTTTTATATCAGTATGTTAAATGTATTTCTTTCTTTTTTCCAGTATTGATTGAACCAATTCCAGCTGGACAAGCTGCTAAAGATTACCTTAACTTATATGTCATACCTACTCTACTGAAAGGACTTACAGCGCTGTCTAAGAGGAAACCAGCAGATCCTTTTGTATGTATCGCAAGAAAGACCGGTATCAAGAGATAGAATGAATATGTGATAACAACTGGTAGCATTCCTTTGGAAAAATGCTCCATGACAGATAGAAATCCAAAGAAGGAAAAAATTGATTGTTGATAAGAGCAATACTTGTTTATATGCATATTGGGTTTAGCCCCTTCAAGCTAGAATGGCCATAATTGGTGAGCCTTTGTATTTCAGGAGCAGTCTAGACTGACTGCCTCCTTTGCCAGCACCTACTCAGACAAACTGGTACATTTTCAAAAGCAAAAAATCATGAAAAGAAAGTTTTAGGAATGTTAAGGAGTTTCTACTTTCTCATCGCTTTATAAAAGAGAAATATTAAAGGAAATTTGGTCAGTAGAAATACAGAGTATGAATGCCTCCTATTAGCAAACAGAATCTTGATACAGAAATTAAACGAGGAATTTTATTGTTGCTCTTTTTGATAGATATGGCTGGCTGATTGGCTAATTGAAAATAATCCAAATACACCTAAGTTGCGGCAGAATGTGATTGTGGAGGAACCTTAAGAGAAGAGGCTGCTAGTTAAATCTTGACCAATTTCCTGCAAGTATCACAAGTTGTAATTCTGAAATCATTTTTCTATTGAGAAATACTACTAACTGGAATTTGCAGATGGAAGAGTCAATATACATATTTGGATCTTAAATTAATAAAGAATATTTGTTGCAATTAAGGCATAAAAATAACAAGTGAATTTATTTGTCTAGTTCAGGGTTTTTTTTTCCAACTGCTGAGCTCTGGCATATTTGCAAAACGGCCATAGGTGTGCCCTATAAGTGAGCCAGAGTAAAGGACAAGAAGTGTGCAGCTAGAATCTCATCTTCCTGAGTTCACTGGGGATGGGCTATCTCCATTTTTTTTTAATTTCTCCATCTGATTCCCAACAACCTGTGATGTCACAAGACTTCCAGTTTCTCCACCTAGAAGTCCTTTCTATGAGATATGTGCTATAAAATGAAAAAGGCTGAGAGCCACCCATCTAGTTTATATCTTACAGTTATCCAAGTGATAAAAAAACTAACAGGAGGGTCTCCATTTTACCCTGACAGCCTTGTGTCAGAAGTTGGTCTCAGAGTGACTAGCTAAAAACTACTTACCTTATAGATGGAGTTGTAACAGATCTCCGTAGTTCTTGTCCAGCATGTTAATTGCTACAACAAACTGCCCTTAGTTGATATAAGGTTTTATATAGTTGGTATAAGGTTTGCACAATTCTTTATTTGTATTGAAAGCAGTTTACTTATAAAACCATAAATATATACTTTCATTGATGCATGCGGGCATTGATAGTAAAGTAAACATGTTTGGACAGATACTTATTCAACATTTTAAATCTGCATTATTTTCTAAGAACAGCTTTTCATTTAAGGCATTTATACAAAGTAATAAATACCAAATATTAAGTGCAAATAATTCACTATTCAGGTAGATTTTCCATCTTAGTTTAGGATGACAACTTTGTTAATTCTTAACCTTGGTAAGACTACTATACCTCCCAGTGATTCAACAAAAGAACATCTAATTGGTATTCCTATATTATTTTGGTATGCTGGGAAATATTCTGATTAAAAAAATAGAAGACAGAATTTAATGAATAAGATACTCGGTCTGGAGACTATGCCTGTTGCTTGGACTATATTCATTCAACCTCTGCCTTCTGAGCTCTGAATATGGTGCTTCCATGAGATACTTATACTTGTGTGAATGAATCAAACTCATGACATTTAAGTTCCTATAAAAAGTTGCTCCTTTAATGTTACATATCTCCTGAGTTCTAATGTTATTGTAATTAATCTCGTAATTTAAGAGATTAGAATCATTAAGTGGCCATTGTATTGCTTATAAAATGAATGTAAGTTACTGACATAAAAGGACCAGATGAAAACCTCAGTTTACTTGTTTTTCAAGATGATTTGAATTACTGATCATATCTCAAGACAGATACAGAGGAGTTTGATTGAAATGTTGTTCCATAGCCATGAGAATGAGCCACACCATTTGAGAGAGGTATAGCCAGGGCTGAGGTGGTTATCCATTAGGCTGAACATTGTCTTCTCTCTGAACATCATTGGAAATGTTAGATAGGAACTGCAGAATTAAAAACTGACATCATCTACATATTTATTAAACATTTTTGATCCTTTTTTGGAGCTCATCAATATAAGTGATGAAGTTATTCTCTAATTAATTAAAATTATTTAAAGGTTAATAACCTTAGAATATGACAGTCCTGATACTATCTCAATTAATTTAAGAAATGGAACTGAAAAGGAACAAGAGAGAGAAGGGGATGTTCAAGAAATTGATGTCTGTCATATCATCACTTTTATTAAGAGCTAAAACACTTTTCCCTTCAAACAAGACATGATGTTACATAGCAAACTCCTCATTGGCATATCTTGAAGACATTTCTCAGCTATATTGAGAGTTTGATGCTTTCCATTACTATCTCTCCCCCCAAAAGTCTGGTTCCCCTAGAGACCCAAACATGTCAGAAGCATTGATTGATCAGTATTGTACCCAAGAGAATGGCTACTGACCAAATTGCTTTGGTACCAACCCCCTGCCAGTTCATGATGGAATGGCATTACCCTCAGCTTGGGGGGTTGGCGGGAGGGGGGGGTTGTCTCTTTCTGTCTTCAGAATTGTGGCAGCAGTTAATGGTAAGTGGGTAGGAAAAATTATAGATGAATGGAAGAATAATGCTCCTCTTCATGAGAATAGTGTCTTTTAATTTTATGGTATGAACACCTTCTTTTCATGGCAATGATTTATATAATATTCTTTGAAATCTAAATTTAAGCTCTATTGGAAAGATCCTTTAAATGAAAGTCTTATTGGGTTGGGGCCTTATCAAAATGGAAAACTCATTTGTTTGAGAATGATCTACTGAATTAGATGGGCTTCTGAATAACTGATTTGTTAATTCAGATAATAGCTTCTGTCACATAAATAATATCAGTCTTCATACACAGATAAATTAAAATACAAGGATATATTTCATTAAAACAATGCTTTACGTAACAGAATACCCGCTGTTATAATTAACGGAAAACATCATATTACAGAAGACTATTTTACCATGCTATTTTATTTGTATAAGCATAGTTGTTCTTCAGTCATATTTTTTATCATTTTGTTTACTTCGAGACAATTATGTGTGGAGCAAACCTGTTTAGACTTGGATAAGTCACTCCTTAGGAGGGGGAAATGTAATTAAACAGGCAGGGACAGTTTTATGACATTTGCTTTCATGGCTTCCCACCAGTTCTTTTTAAATAAGATTGCAGAAAATCATTGTGTCAAATTGTTCCATTTTTATCAGTACGAATTCAAATAGAACCAGAGCTGAATATATTTGCAATTAAAATGCAGCAATTTATAATTTCTGCTTTGGGATCTTTTGAAAGTGGATAAATAGAAGTTTAGCAAAAGTAAGTTTTTTCCTAATTTTGCAATGTAATGATGTCAGTTTAAACTTCTTTTAATACAAAATGAGTCCTGCCAGAGAAATAGGAAAAAAAAACTGAAGAAGCTTGGATGAGATTTGAGAATGAACAATCTGTGGCCTCCCCCATGTTGCTGAACTATAATTCATGCTGTTTATTATCCAGTACTCACTATGTTGACTGGAGGTTTTGAACCTGAAATACAACACATTTGAAAAGCCACATGTTCCATATCCGACTCCAAGCTACATGAAGATGCATAACTGAGAAAATACAGAAAAAGATGATCTTCCTGTTAAAAAATTTAAAAATGGGAAAAACATATCTCATTGAACTGAATATATAAACCTATATGGATGGATCTTATATGGCTCTGGGATGCATTTTCAGTGCAGCTACTATGGGACTTGACTATAGCATGATAAAAATTAAGTGGGGTCTTCCTCCATTTAAAAAAAATCATATTTGGTCATGTTTTGTTTCTGCAGAAATAAACTCAATCTTAATTCAGTTTTAAATTTAAAATCTTTATCATTTTAATGTTTATCATGTTTTTTATTCAATGTTAGTAAGCCTGCTGGAGTTGCTTCCAACGAGATGGGCAGCATGCAAGTTTGATAAGTAAAAGAAATAAATGCAGATTATTATTATACTCTTCTGCTCCGAATTGAGAGGGAAAAGGGAAATGACATAAATCCTCAAAGCTGCATTTTATTTGGGCTAGGTTGACCCCCCCTCTCCCCTTTAGCAGTTGCAAACGTCTCTTCTTACTGGGTGGCATGTAGGATGGAATATAAGGGATTGCAACATTTGGGGTGTAGCTTGCTTCTGAGGTAGTGACTCTTTGCTCTCTTAACGTGAGAACATTCCTCAGGGACTTTAACATATGTATGTGGATGAATTGCCTGCTTGTACCATAAAAGAGATGACCACGTACCCAACATAAAGCAGTCATCACTGAGAAATGGTAAAGCCAATGAAGTTCACACATCCTCCCAGTCACACCAAACTATTTTTATAATACCTAATTTAGCAAATGAACTGTGAAAAAGGAAAAGGCTACTAAGGCCAGGTTTGCTGTTAATAGCACCTGTATGTAATCTCGGCTTCTTTTCTAAGGCTGCCCCCAAAAAATCATCTGCACCATTCTGGAATTAGCTTTACTGGTATTTTTATCACTACAATCATGTGCACATTTACTAGAAATAAAAGTCATTACAGGGAATGAGACTTACTTTCTAGTAAGCATACATGGAATTGCAATTTATGTTTATATGGGCTGTGCTAAAGACATTTTAAGACCAGATGGTCTCTGAATGATGTAAAGTACTTTTCGTATACTCTGAAACATTAATTGGGTTTGTTTAGGCTGAAATGCTTTCTAGCATAATTTCCTTACAAGAATGATGTTTGTTGTTAAATCAATTTATATAGCTGTTCATCGCACAGTTGCAACTTGGGGCACCTCAAATCAAACAGAACAAAATAAGAAAAATAGTGGCAGATGAAGACAAACCCAACTTCAATCAGAATTTGCAGCGATTGACTAACTAAATGTTCAGACCCTATGGCTGAAGAAACATTTGGGTAGATATTCTTGATCTAATTGTGCCTATAGTAGCTGTATGCCTGAGGTATTTAATCATGGTTTATTGAATAAGCCCATAAAGGCTGTGCCTTTGTCAAACCCTAACAGATCACATAATATAAACACACACACTCTCCATGCCCAGGTTTTGTATATTTTACACTGAATTTTAATAATATTAATTTTTAGCCCTGATTTTATTGCATATTGAGAGAGAGAGATAGACAGACAGACAGTTTTGTATGCTGGCAAGAGTCGTTAGGTGAGATGGGCTGCCATATACATCTAATAAATAAATGAACATGATATATCTTTGCTCACGTTCACTCACTTCTTTTTGTCCTTTAGATTTTATTGATGGTTTGCTATGTACACAGGATAATATGAACTAAAATACCTAACCTTGTATGGTAAAATTTTTCTTCCTTCATGAAAGAATTGGAAATAAGCTAGGATAAAAAACTACATTGGGGGCTTTTTCCAGTCACTCAACACAAACCTGCCTTGATAACACACCTATCATTTCAAATGATGTTGTCTTTACAATATCTCTAGGTCACAAGACATATTCATTGTTACCTGTAGCAAATGTTAAAGTTCTTTCCTTCTGTATGCCAACATCATCGAAAGGCAA